ATCCGCATTAGTTCTGAGGTCAACTCTTCTTGTATCTATTCAACTTCAATGTACAATGTTCAAATACATAGACCTCAGTGGAACAGTCTGAGGATACTTTTGGTTTGAGCCAACTTGACTTGAACATTATATCAAAAAGCTTTGATCCCTCAATATATTATAAGTTCCTCTTGGTTTCATAGTATTTAATGAAACTACATTGCCTACCTCTTGTTTCTTCTTCCCATATCACTATCGGTGTCAATATATCAATATGTTTCATTATCAATGCAGAATACTATTTTTTAATCAGAAAACACCAGGCCAGTCAGCTCAGAGTTGGGGTCGAGGGTGGGGGAGGAGCTGAGATACAATAACTATTCAGGAGAAAATAATTTCTCATACATTTCACCAAATTCCATAAAGGGAATTGGCCTATGCAAAGTTCACCAATACTTCCCAATTTTAAAGAAAAGCGGCTTGTAGAGCGGTGGCTGCCTTCATCCTGTACAGCAGATACCACACTTGCATTTTATAAATACGTGAAAGAGTAATGACAGAGCAGCTCTGTATTAAAGATCACTTGCATAACAGTCCTCTCCTGTCCTGAAGACGATACTCTGATAGGTAACTCTTAGAGAGGATAGTGTGAGAGAAAGAACCATCAACTGGAATGATTGGGTCCGTTCATTACTCGGGTGGTCAAAGATCTCTTCATGGAATCATAGAATGTAACAGCATCAAAAAGGCCATTTGGCCCATCGATAGCCCAACTACCCTGGTGTTTTTCTCCATGTGAGCCACCTAAATTATTCCTTTGCTCCCCTTATTCCACTTTTTCTAGCATCTATCTATTTCCTTTTTTAAATAATTTAATGACTCTTCTTCAATGGATTGTGGCAGAGAGTTCCACTAACTTCTGTGAAGCTATTTCTGATTTTTTAAAAAAATAGGTGAGGCTTGAGGACAACACATTCACAAGATCCCTCCAATCCTTGAAAGACATCAGTGCAACTTGACCCAACCACATTCCTAGTGGTGGGTGGATTGCTACAACTCTGTGACTTTCAGAGAAGCTGATTGCATGTCTAAGGAATCTCTCCCATGGATAGATGACAGATGTATAAATATTCTTCAGAATAAAGAACTGGACAAAGGAGATGCTTCAACGATCAATTTTGAGCAGCTTAATTCTTGGATAGGTAATCAATACCTACTGACTCTGCTGAAATTATGGCTTCCACAGTAGCATCACAATGAAGCAAATAGTAAACTGCCACTAATTCACTTCCATTACTTTTCACATTCCCTTTTCAGGACATTTTCTTCGCGGGAGCTTTCTGTAGCTGGATTGAGATACTGATGTAACTTGTTACTTTTCTAGTTTACCCACTCTGGTTCACTATATTTATGATTTATGCCAATAACTGTGATCAGTATGGGCTGTCTATTAGATTAAGGTTTGGTACTTAAATTAATTTTTTTCAACTTTAATTAAACATTTCTGGAACCTTAAAAATGTAGTACAGATGCTTCATAGGCTGACAAAGTTGACGGGGGCACCAGAATTGGCCTTAATTTACCTGTGTAAGGAAGGGAAACAAATCCGCTGGGAATTGAATTCCTGTTCCCTATCCAGTAAAAGTGCTTTTAAGATTTTCCTTCAAGTGTAAGGTGTGATGCAGTAAAATTGCAGTTTTTCTCAACAAGTTCAATGTTTAATTGAATCCATTAAGAAGCACTTCTTTTTAAAGTTATTAGTAATAACAATGTAATCGTAATAATTATTAATCACAGTACTAATATCAGCTTGTATATGAAAGGCAAGTTATCATTATTAAAGCTGTTAGAATGTGTGCACATGTAGTTGTTGAGTGAGGGCAGGATTGGGCTCAGCTGCACTGCCCATGGCGGTGATGCTTCTACAGTCAAACAATCTGCCAAACTCACTGTCCATGCAAAAAATGAAGAACAGTCAGTTGGGTGTGAGACCGGAGGCTGCCAGTGTCCACGCAAGCGTACTCCAGCTGCCAGAGTCACTGCCTTCAGGAGAAGAGAGAAAAAATAAACTACAGAACCTATGTGCTCTCAATGCCACATCACTGTCATGTCACAACCTTCAAAAATTTCAAGGTGACTTCTTTCAATTTCTCTCAGCTGTTTTAGAGAAATGTGCTGTGGTATCAATGCAAAGTTATGCTACTTTCAAGACTGTAAATTCTGGGGTAAATTTTGCCATGTGTCAACACCTATGTGTTAATTAACTAGTCGAGCACATCACATTTTGCGAGGGGTACATTTGGCGATGTGGTAATTGACACTTACTTGCTAATTCATACCCGGTAGTCAAATTAGTGCCATTCAGACACTGACTGATGCCTGCTGGGTGTAATCTCCCCCTCTCCCCCACCCAACCCACCTACTCGACACTGTAATTAATGGTTGTGTCTGAGAAGAAATGGATCATGGTATTAGCCTGCTGGTTGGGGGAAGGGTGACACTAGTTTAATTCAGATCTTTTGTTCAGGTAAGATGGCATCCCACTAACCAGGAGAACAGATCCACGATCTGCAAATTCAATTTGGTAACCATGTTCATGAATAGGACCATTCAGAAGAAGCATTTTGGGGTGGGAATCCTCTTCTGGTACATTCGGGGGCCATACGATTCATTAAATGTCATAAGATCGCTAAATTAGCCATTGTATGTCTCCCTCAATCCCTCCGCCTCTCTCCCTCAATCCCTCCACCTTGCCTTGCTCTCTCTCCCCTTTCTCAAGTCCCACCTGAAAACATTCCTTTTCAACTGTGCTTACGGTCACCTCCCCTCACACCCTGGCTCGGAGTCAGGCTCCGCCACTGTTAAGCGCTCTGAGACACTCTCTGTGTTGAGGCAGCTATATAAGTGCAAGTTGTTGTTGTATGTGAATTATCACATATATGGTGATTAACACATAGCAACAACGCAAAATTATCCCCCACCCCACGTGATATGCTCAACTAATAATCCATTCAATCACAGAATTTCAGTGCATTTACAAATCTTGATAGCTTGGACTAATAGCGCAACATTTTGCGAAACCTAACGGTGCCTTATTGTTATTTTACATGTACTGTTTCAGGCATTGATAGCTATGTACACCACTATCAACCAATACAAGGTTAAATTATTTTATACAAGATTATTACAGCTGGGAAATCTGACTGGCACAAGTGGTCAGTATTTGGCTAGATTTCAAGAGGCAAGATGAAATCAACCAATTCAAGTCAAATCTGGCCTAGTCCTAAATGGCAAAATTATAATTATCAATTTTGCAAATTTAATGTTCTTTTTGTATATATGAGTGGTTCTTTCAGAATGTTCTAACATTCCTGATCGTGAAATAACAAGGTGACAAATATAGATGAGCACAGTTAATAGGTACAACATTTTAAGTAAAAGCAGAAACTTCATTGTTCTGAAAAATGGGTGCAGAGATACTGCTTTTTATAAATTTAAAAAAAACATTTCCCGTAAAAAATGCATAATATTTGAATGATAATCAAACAAGATTAATGTCAAATTTACAGTGACGTGGTTGTAACATTCATGCACTGTAACACTATCATTCCCTGTTTTATCTAACATCATTATAACAATTACAGTACAGTGATACAGTCTGAGGCTAAAACAGCCTGGAAGCAACTCATGTGAAATATCAGTGCTTTAAAGGATAGAAATTTCCTGACAATAACTGGAGTGTCACAGAAGGGACTAAAAAATCCATCTAGTGATAAAATTATTTACCAAAAGTCAACTCATCTAGACCAATTCACATTGAGTATCAGTTCCATGATATGTTCACTTTTAAGAAAAAGGATCCTGATACAGAGTTCATTGCAAGACTATAAAATCTACTGTTACAAAACGTAAAAAATAGTGCTGAGATTTAACCGTGCTCTTTCTTTAATATACCTTATAGTTTTCTCTGTTTTAAAAACACAAAAGTTGACCTTAGTGTTATAGCGAGAGGTTGTGTATTCAAATATTATGGCACATAATTTAACTATAGACAACAACAATAACAACAACAAAATTACATTTGTATAGCACCTTTCACGACGGGAGGATGTTCCAAGGCGCTGGACAATCAATGTTTTGGACCCGAGCTGGGGGTCGGGATCGGGGAGGGCGGAGGGCAGGGGGGTAAGGAGGGTGATTGAAGGCACGGTCGAAGAGGAGGGTCTTGAGTCAGGTCTTGAAGGAAGCAAGGGCCTGCGGGATGGAGTTCCAGAGGGTGGGGGCAGAGTGGCTGAAGGCCTGCCTGCCAATGGTGGACTGGTCTGCTCCTAGCCAATTAAATACGGATAGAGCCTTGCTAAAAAATAAATCTTTTAGGATTTTGAAAGCCTCCTATTCGATTCGATTAAATTCTACGCGGATAGGAAAACAAATTTAAAATAGATCTAATAGGATTAATTCCAAGATGTCTTTGAATCCTATAGCATAATTAACGCTTTGAAAACTTTCAAAGGTAAGGAATTTATATTCTATCTACAAAGGGCTGCTTTTGACCCCAGTGGCACTCTCATTGTTAAATTGCCTTTGTCTTGCTCTTTTTAGATTGGTCCCCAAGCAGCAGAAAGCTACCTGGTCCCCACCCACTGTCGCACACAGCCTATAACCTACGATTAAGAGGTAGGTGGGAGGCAGATATCCTCCCATTGTGCTCTCCCTTCACTTGCACTCAGCTCCTCTTTCCTATGAGAACCTACTCCTAGGAATAGTTAGTATAAGTCCATGCCCTACCACTCCGCAGGAAGACTCACTCACCCACCAATGTCCTGTGGTTATCTGCCAGTATCTACAGCGATTCTAATGTCCTCTCAAAGTGGAATTTGGTAAATGTACAGGGCTGTGTTACATTTATGAACCCACAATGTTCTGCAAAGTAAAGCAATGAAGGTAATTTGGTTTAGATGCAGAAATATTACTGCAGTTCTCAAAGGGTTAATGCGATATCTTATGGGATACTTGAGCCCGATCAAGTCTTCATAAAAGTGAGCTATTCTTGTATTGTGCAGCAAGTAGAGATAATCCACTGGGTCAGCCAGTCCTCTATCGGACAACTAAACAGGCTACACAGAGCTTTGAAGGCCCTATGCAGTCATCATGGCAGAAGGCGCCACATCCTTTACACATAATCATGGCTTTCAACCTGCAGGAGCACTTCAACTCCAATTCTTCCCCGTTGCTGCTATCAGCAAATTTCGGAACCGGAATGGAATTATTCTGGTTCGACAAAGTGGACAAAGTGCTGTTTCCACTACTTCCCAGGAAACTACCAATAGACTGTTCGATGACAGAAGTGACCCTTTTTAAATTCGTGCCGTTGAAATGCAACGTGGAATAGTTGCCATATAGTTGCTGCTGCAGGCGTTTCTGAGGAGCGAGCGGCGAGGTGGCTTTGCTGGGGTCGGAGGACAGGTGGGAGCAAAAATCGGAATCTTTCACTATTCTCCCTAAAAGCAAATCCATCGTGGGTCCGAAAACCTTTACCTGCTCCTTTGTTTCATAATGATCACTTGGAACATCTTTGACAGCCACTGCACAGCTGCTGGTTAACCCATCCTCCACAGAAAAACGTTCCATTTTAATGCCACTACAGCGGTCAGTTGCAGGAAGCAAACTAATTCTTTTATTGGTTTCCACGGTAACTGCTCCTTGCTTTTGATCAGATGGCCCTTCTCTCTCACTTAGTGCAGCAGGATATTTTGCAGACCTAGTCTGGGCGGGCTGTGCCGCTCTGCAGCTGCCATCAGTTTGCTTAATTTCAAGACTGTTAGAAAAAACAGTCTCCGCGCTCTCCTGATCTGCGTCCACTGAAGTATCGACCTGTGCTGCAGAGTTAAGCGCCGGGCTGTTCCCCTCCAGGCGTGGGTTGAATGCTAATGTATTTGGAGTGCCATAGCCCAATGTGGCTTGTGGGGTAGTTTGCAGTGCTCCTTCTGTTTCAGCCAATCCTCTCAGTGTAACAGACACTGGGTGAGTGTGCTGCCTCTGTGAGACAGGAGCCGCAGCAGTGGAGATGTTACCCTTGTCATTGCTGTTCAACAAAGTCCGCTCGAAACCGCAAGCCAGCAATGGTCTCTTCTGCTCTTTAAACTGTAGGCCTGGAGCAATTTTGTGCTGAATGAAAGGCTTGCTGATCCATTCCTGTTTAAATAATGTCTGCCGCTCCCCTGACTGATCCTCATCTGTATTGAGGGGAGGCTGTGCCCACATTTTAACCCCTGCTGCAGTATACTGCTTTGCTTGCTCATATCTACTCTGAGACTGTTCCCCTATTAACTTGGCCTGCCTCTTGCTTCCTTGCATATCACGAGCTTTGCCTTGAATCTGCCCTGCTGTTCCCCAAGCATGGCCCTTAGGGGTTTGTGAGAGTGAGTAAGAAACGTTGCCAGGGACATCTCTCTCAGCTGTAGTCACTTTAGATTCAGCGGAAATTCGTGAGGGCAAAGGAAACCTATTAATTTCAAGCCTGGCACCTGACCGAAGCTGCGGCAGTACTTTCTCTAGAGGCAAGTTGCCCTGCAGCAACTGTGTCACAAGAGGATTATTGGCTTCCACTGATGAAAGGTGACGATTAGAGCTTGCAGGAGCAGGAACTCGGTCTTGGATCTCCACAGCCGCTGACATGAAGGTCTTAGACTGGCTCGTGGCAAAAGATGCTTTGGAGTTCTTTGTTTGTGAGCTGTCTGCGACTGCACTGATTTGAGGGTGAAAGGAGTTCTCTCCTTTGTCACTCTCTTCCTTAACCTCTGCCACTTTAGCCTCAGAGTCACCTATGTTCGATAAACCTTTAGACTGTTGTCCAGTCTGGTCACTGCTTGCCTCTGGTAAAAGCTTCAGAACAGACTCCGAAGGTTGTTTGTTGATGTGCGTGGAATCCGCAGGATTGATGTGCAGGCCTAACCTTCCACTCCTCAATGTGTCACCCTCATTCTCTTTATGGCTATTCAGTCCCTGCTTCTGTCTATTGTAGCCGATGAGGTCGCTGAGTCGTAGCATTTCTTCACCCACATGGTAACACGATTTACTGTGGTTGGAGATGACCATTGCTCCTATGTTTGTTGGAGTTTTAGCCACAGCGCAGTGTGGTTCAGTTAGGTCAGACCATATCCTAGCACCATATGTTGTTTCTTCTAAACGGGTGGCACCTTCTGAACCCAGAGAAGCTGTTCGGAGGCTGTTATCATCTTGTTTTGTTAGCACCTTAGAACCACTATTTCTGTCAATCTCTTCCAATTGATTACCAATGTTTGGCTCAACCCACTTATTGTTTAATTCCTGAGACTGTGTTTCATTGTTGTTCAGGGTGTTTTCGATTTTAAATGCTTCAGGCTGGGAGTTCAAACTCAAATCTGCTGGAGAGTAAGTTCCTGCAGCTGTGGTTGACCTGGGCACAGTATAATCCTCTCCAGGGTTACTGGTTTCTTTAGCATTGATGGAAGGCTGTGGAGCGCTCAACAGCTGAGGACTCACACCAGCTTCCATCTTGCTTGTTACTGCAGGAGACCCCAAATCCAGCGGCACTGCTGCAGATTTAAGGACAATGGTAACATCAGAGCTGACGACCATATTGTTGGCAGAGACGGAGTTGAATTATTTTCAAAACTTGAATCATCTGCACTGGGCACAGAGTTGGGCTCAGCGGTCTCACCGATACAGCTATCATTATCACAGCTGTCAATTTCATTGCGGCTCTGGACATTTGTGTTGTCGCCAGGGCTTGGAATAGAGGTGTTACCAGAAGAGCTGCTGGAATATCCCGGTGGGTGAGTACTTTCAGGTGGATATTGCAGGTATACATTATATGCAGCACGTGCCACAGAAACACTGTTTGCAGCACCTGCTATGACTGTATTGTCCGCAGAGGTTGGAGCACTATTAGTTCTTGTCATGGTAATACAACTTGGCACAATACTGTCAGCACAATGTGGCAAGCTACTGTCATTAGCACAGCTTGGTATGGCAATATTGGCAACACAACTTGGCCTGGCAACAGTATCAGTACTGGCTGGCACAGCAGCACTGCCTGCACAGCTTGCCATGGCAGTACCATCAGTGTAACTCTGTACAGTGATATTGTGAGGAGACTGCTGCTTCACAGTGGAGTTTGGTACAGCAATAGCACCAGAAGAGGCTGATATATTAATATTACCATGAGAGCTGGTTGTAACAGGACTGACAGAACCAGGCAGTGCAATATTGCCAGCAAAGTCTGCTGACAGGTTTGTATTAGCATTGTCACTGGAAGGTGAGATATGATCAACACAACTCACTGCCTTAACATAATCAGTACTTTGCAGTGTGATACTGTCAACAGAACATGGGACTGCATTGCTGCCTACAGAGGCTTGTGCGAGAACACTGCTAGAGGAGTTTGGTGCGGAGACACACCCAGCAGAAGTTGGCACTACATCATTGCCAGCAAAGCTTGGGATTACAATGTTGCCAGCAGAAGTTGGTGCTGCAATATTCCCAGTTAAGCTTGTTGCTGCAACACTGCCAGTAGAGCTCTGAGTTGCAACACTGTCAGGAGAGCTTGGTGTTACATTACTGTTAGTTGAGCATGGTGCTGCATTGTTTTCTGCGATACTGTCAATATAATGTGACACAGTGACACTATCAGCAATACTTGGTACATTGGTGTTCTCCAAAGCGCATGTTAGGATGGTTAAAGGGGCATGATCCTCTTTAACAAGCCCTTCGTTCTTAGAAACGCTGGCATCCTGCACCTCTCCTACTGTACTCATGGCTTGCCTGACATAGGCATGCACATCAACTTGCTGTAATTGTGCTCTTGCCTGATGTTTTGCAAATAACTTAGCCTTTGTTTGTGCTTTGATATCCGCCAATGTTCTGGTCTGTCCTCCATTTGCTCCTGTATTGCTGGTCCCTCCATCAGCACAGCTCCCCGCTGCTCCCGTACCCGCGCTGGCCGCAGCTGCTGCCTCTCGCTGAGCTCTCGCCTGCTGCGCTCTGGCCTTGATGTCTGCAAGGGTCCGTGCACCCGTGTTCCTTCCTCCACCCATTGCAGCATTGGAGGATGCCCTGGGACATACGTAGTAGGACGGCTGACTCTTGATAACAAAAGGTAGCTTGATCCTTGACAGTTGAATCTGTTAAAGAAACACAACACATTTCAATCCAAGTAAGATCATAGAATCATAGAATCCTGCAGCATAGAAGGAGGCCATTAGGCCCATCGTACTTGTGTCAGCTCTTTGAAAGAGCTATTCACTCAGCCCCACTTCCTCACTCTTTCCCCATAGCCTTCAATTCGCTTCCCTCTTCCTCGTTCAAGTTCCGTCTCAAGACTTACCTTTTTGATCTTTCCCCTCCCACCTTGGCTCCCGCCTTGAGACATCCTCTCACCTGAAAGGCGCTTTAAAATTTAAAGGTTGGGAATTCTCCATTGTAATCACATAGAAATTTAGTTATTGCTGTGCGCAAATTGGCTGCCACGTTTGCCTAACGAGTATCCAGTCACTGGACTTTACATCCGGTGTCCTCCCAATATAAAAGGTGCTGTATCAAGTGCCAGAATTATTTTCTTATTACTATAATTATTATTAAATTTGGGCTTGTTATGAGATTTTTAATAAAATAAAAATAGTCAGGTGACTATTGAGAGTGACTGTTCATGTGGCAGGAGATAACAGTGTCAATTTGCTGGGCTTGTAATTTAACACAACCAGAATATATAAACTGGGCAGGGAAAGCGTGTGTAAACTCTCAAGTTAAACCTGCCTCAAGGATGGAATATAATTGTGGTTCTAAGCATATTTACTTTCTTTCATCTTCCTTTATTTGGGTCATTACTCTTTTTACAGTCATTGTGTTTCCTGTAGCATGTCTCCCCACCTCGCTCATCCACATCAGCTGAGAAATGGGAACCCATCCTTTTTTTTTGGTCAGTTGGGTGTCTGACACAAGCGGAAAAACTTCAACATGGTTAAGAGTATCCAAACCAAGCTGAGAATTTCGCTATGTACATTCCCTACACATGGACATTTCACTGTATCTGGAATGGAAAGCAAACTATCTTCCTGAAAGAGACGCACCTGCTAACCTAATTCCAGACAATGTTAGGTGCAGGCTGCAAGGGCCAAGACTTTGGGACCCCAGAGTGGGCATTAGGGGTACTGCTGAAATTTAACTAGCTAAAACTTGGTTATGCCATAATACCAGAAATGCAAGAATACTATCTGGCAGGCTTACTGCTGCTTGTTCAACTACGACTACCCTACCCTTTAGGGCTTTGGCTTACAGGGTTAAATGGAGATGAGTGAGAAGAATTTCTGGTCCAGTGACTGATCTGTCTTTCAATTTCTGTTGACAAAACAGGCTGGCTGGTCTGCCCTCAACAGTGCTCCGGAGTACAGCAGACCTGCCTGACTCAGGACCTGCCTGGCTCGAGATTGCCACAGAGAATGAATTGGATTCCTGTATTCCATTGCCAAGCATATCATCTTGAAGCCTTCAACTCTATAGAGAGGGATTCATTTCTACAGCTCATTATTACAACAACAACAACTTGCATTTATATAGTGCCCTCCATGCCGGGCAGCATCCTAGAGCGCTTAACAATGATGGAGCCCGATGCCAAGCCAGGAGGAGGGGGAAGGTGACTGTAGGTGCGGTCGAAGAGGAAGGTCTTCAGGCGTAACCTGAAAATGGGGAAAGAGGGGGCAAGGTGAAGAGCTTGAGGGAGGGAGTTGCATAGCTTCAGGGCGTAGTGGCTGAAGGCACAGCCGCCAATGGTGGAGTGGACGATTTGACGGACAGAGGGGAGGCTGGAGCCAGTAGAGCGGAGGCAGGGGATAGTGATGTGAGCAGAGCGGAGGTTGGAGAAATAGGAAGGCGCCAAGGTGTGTAGGGATTTAAACACTAGAATGAGGATCTTGAAGTCGATATGCTCTGTGGCAAGGAGCCAATGATGTTTGGCAAGGACTGGGGTAATTGGGGTGCAGAGTTTAGTGCGGGTGAGAATGCGTGCGGCAGAGTTTTGAATGAGTTGAATTTTGTGAATAGGGGAGGAGGGAAGACCGGCCAGGAGGGCACTTGAGTAGTCCAGACAAGAGGTGATAAAGGCATGGACAGCTTTGGCAGCTTGTGGAGTGAGGTATTGTCAGAGATGGGCAATGTGGCAGAGGAAAGCAGTCCTGACCAGGGACTGGATGTGGGGAGGAAGGATAACTGGGGATTAAGGCAGAGAGGTGGGAGGGCGACCGAAGGCACAATCAAAGAGGAGGGTCTTGAGACCGGCCTTGAAGGAGGCAAGGGAGGAAGCGAAGCAAAGAGACTGTGGGATAGAATTCCAAATTGTGGAGGTAGAGAGGCTGAAAGCAGGGTCGGTCATGGCACAGATGGGGGAGAGAAAGGACAGTTCAGGGTCAAATGAGACAACCAGGTTCCTGACTGGCTTAGTGAGGTTGAGTGTGCAGCTGTGGATGCTGATTCTGCCAGCGCCCGAGGTGCGGAGGCGCTGGCGTGAGCCAATCAGTGGGGCCTTGGTCTTGCTGACGTTCAGCTATAATAATAATAATAATAATAATAATAATCCTTACATTTGATATAGCGCTTTTCACGTCGGGAGGACGTCCCAAAGCGCTTCACAGAACACACTGTAAAGTGAATTGACTGTATATTTGTGGGTGAACGTGGCAGCCAATTGCGAACAGCAATGTCCCACAAACAGTCGTAGATTGAAAATGACCAATTTATTATTGTTTTGGGTTTTGAAGGGATTATTATTAGGTGTGTGGAGTAAGGAAACTTGCCCAAGGTTTCGCCCTCTAATAATAATAATAATCCTTGCATTTGATATAGCGCTTTTCACGTCGGGAGGACGTCCCAAAGAGCTTCACAGAATATACTGTAAAGTGAATTGACTGTATATTTGTGGGCGAACGCGGCAGCCAATTGCGCACAGCAATGTCCCACAAACAGTCGTAGATTGAAAATGACCAATTTATTATTGTTTGGGGTTTTGGAGGGATTATTATTAGGCTCTGTGTGGAGTAAGGAAACTTGCCCAAGGTTTCGCCCTCTGCCTGGAATTGAACTCAGGTGTCTCGCTTACAAAGCGAGTGCTCTAACCACTGAGCTACAGGACTCCACGAATATCTACCAATAGATAGCACAGACAGTGGGAAGCGCAGGTTGGACAGTGTAAATGGAGCAGGGAATGCATATGTTATGACAACAACAACAACACAACGACAAGATTGTATATATAGGGCACCTTTCACGTCGGGAGGACGTCCCAAGGCACTGGACAGTTGGGTCGGGACCCGAGCAGGGGGGAAATGGTCAGGGGGAGGGAAGGGAGGGAGCGAGGAGGGGTTAGAGAGTCGAAAGGGGAGGTGAAGGCACGGTTGAAGAGAAAGGTCTTGAGACCGGCATTGAAGGAGGAAAGGGTGGAAGCAAGGCAAGGCACTGGGGGATAAGAGTTCCAGAGCCTAGGGGCTGAGAGGCTACGAGAACAGTATCTGTGCAGATGGGAAAGAAGCTGAGAAGACTGAGGCCTGATTTGACTGGTGTACAAAATAATGAAGGGAATTGGTGATGGTTGACTCTCCCCTTTGCTATAGGGATTCAAAATAAGAGGCCATTATCTTAACATTAAAGTTAAGCTTGTTGAAGTGAGATAAGAAAACATTTCTTTACACAGAATGTTGTAAAAATGAAGACGACACTGTCCTAGATGGTTGTAGAGGTAGAATCAGTTGGGATGTTTCAAAAGGGAGATGGATTTTTGGCAAGTCAGGGTATTAAAGGGTTATGGAGAAAAGGTAGGAAAATTGGATCAAAAGTCAGTTTGTGATTTAATAGACTGGTGGTATCGGCTTAATAGGTTGACTTGTCTCATTTATTTCCTATGTTCTTATGGAGCTGGGAGCGGGGATAGTGTCAATTTTAGGGACAGCTGTAACAGATAGTGAGAATGGGACAGAAAGCAGAGAAAGTAGATTCAGATAATGTGATGAGCAATGATATAACACTTCAGACAGCGTGTTGTGGAGTTTCAGCTTTAATGCAATAAACATGATCTGACAGCTGCTCCACTGTCCCTTACAGAAACTGACATGGAGAACTGTGTGTGCCTCATGCTAAAAACATGAGTTTCTCCATGGCTGAATCTCTGCGCACACCAAGCTTATAGGCCTCAGCATTTTCTGCCTTGGGCCATGTGTCTCGGTGAGCAGTCAGACATTATTGTAACAGAACCTGAGAAGAGGCAGCATGGCAGCCAGCTACGGTGGGCCTTTGGGTTGTACTGGAGAGGTGGTGGAGCTTCTGCCATATAATGGGGTGACAGACATCCCCCCCACCCCCAGCTCTCTCTCTCTTAATGAAGAATCTTATTGAGAAATACCATATTATTATTACTGTTTTATGTATGAAACAGCAAAATATAATTAGTTATAATCTGCCATTTTATATTTCTTTCTCTTTCTCATACCTTGATAGGTGGGACTTTTGGCTGTGCTTTTGCAGACGTCTCTGGTTCCACCTGGGACCTGCACGGCGCTGTCCGAAAGGACTGGTCATTTTCAATTCGAGGCCGTTTCTCCTGACAGATCTCGGGCACACGCGCTTCCAGGGGTTTTCTCTTTTGTAGCTCCAGGTCTTTGCTGTCGTTTCTAGCTTCAGAAGGTGGTGGAGAAGAGACAGAGGATGTACAGAGCTGTGGGGGCTGCTCAGGGGGCTGCTGAAAGACCCTTGGTTGGTTTTCAAAGTCTTTGTTCTCCTTTTCAGAAACCTTGGTTGTTTCAGAGCAAGTGGAAGCATGTGATTGCTGAGATGTGTTCTCTGTTTTACCCTCTGAAGATTCATGGCTGTTGCTGACTGTCTCTGCCCCATAAGGTGCAGTCTCTGAGCACATGGGGAGACTGCACTGTTCTGGGGTACGTTGCTCATTTTCTGTGCCATGTTCTAGGTCACGTTCGTCATTCTGAGGAAGGTCAACAGAATTGGAAACCTCAGAGGCTTTGGAAGCAGGAGTGTGCAGATGGTAAGAAGTGCTAGATATTTCTGAAGCGGCTGCCTGTGGCTCTACAGCGTGCTTAGATTGGGGTTCAGGCTTCGGGACACTTTGTGTATTGAGAATAGGCTTTGAGCTATCTGTAGGCATCTCGTGCTCCACCTCTTCAGGTTGGACTGGGCAATCATGATCAGTGTCAGTCTTGTTGGCTTCTGGACTTTTGTTATCATTGTGATTCTCGCAAACATTCGGTTCAATCTCTTCTGCTATCTCTTCCTGAATAGCAGATTCATCTGAGCTAATGTCAGAGCACAGCGATATCAAAATATCCTCCGCTTTCACAGTTTCGGGGGGGTCTTTGGCTGGAGTTTGCTGCATAGTGCATTGCGTTTGCTTTAGGTCTTTATAAGGCACTGGCTTTGCTTTGCTATCGTGCTTGCTATCATTTTGTGCCTGCGAAGGCCCTGCTAGGATCCGCTGCTCTGGAAATGAACCGCTGTCTCCATTCCCAACATAATCATTCATTGATGCCAGGTTCACAGCTTCCTCTTGTGTTATACCCGACCTGAGCACAAAGGGAAAATGCATGTAACCATTCTGATACTGAAATCAGCTTCATAATATCTGCGAGGTGAGGGGGGGGGGGCAGAGAAATACACTGGAAATTAAAATGGTGGGGAATCCTTACATGGATTAAATCAAATAAAATGTTATTTTAATGAAAGCCAAGTAATTTTCTATTTAACAATGGGAGACCATACGATATACCATATCGAGCCTTCCATCAGGCCTTTGGCAAAACGCCAAATGAAAGACTTCTTTTCAAATAGAGACTTGTGTACAAACACAATGTTGTCAAACACATGTTGTGTCAGGAAGTTTTGAAATAAGCAAAAACATTTCAAAACTTTTTTTTAAACAAACAATCTGGGCTGGAGCTGAGCGAGGAAATTGGCAGTGCCTGGACTAGGAGGCAAAGGATTAGTTTCTCCCTTTCCTAGGTCTGGGACTCTGAATGAAGGCTGCAAATTCCCAGAGAGTGCCAGTCACAGACAGAGTGCCAGTCAGAGAGACAGAGTGCCAATCACAGAGAGAGTGCCAATCACAGAGAGAGTGCCAATCAGAGACAGAGTGCCAATCAGAGACAGAGTGTCAGTCACAGACAGAGTGTCAGTCACAGACAGAGTGCCAGTCAGAGGGAGAGAGTGCCAGTCAGAGGGAGAGAGTGTCAGTCAGAGAGAGAGAGTGGCAGTCAGAGAGAGAGAGTGGCAGTCAGAGAGAGAGTGTGGCAGTCAGAGAGAGAGTGTGGCAGTCAGAGAGAGAGTGTGGCAATCAGAGAGAGAGAGTGGCAGTCAGAGAGAGAGAGTGGCAGTCAGAGAGAGAGAGTGGCAGTCAGAGAGAGAGTGTGGCAGTCAGAGAGAGAGAGTGGCAGTCAGAGAGAGAGAGTAGCAGTCAGAGAGAGAGTGTGGCAGTCAGAGAGAGAGTGTGGCAGTCAGAGAGAGAGTGTGGCAATCAGAGAGAGAGTGTGGCAGTCAGAGAGAGAGAGTGGAAGTCAGAGAGAGAGAGTGGCAGTCAGAGAGAGAGTGTGGCAATCAGAGAGAGAGTGGCAGTCACAGAGAGAGAGTGGCAGTCACAGAGAGAGAGTGGCAGTCACAGAGAGAGAGTGGCAGTCACCGAGAGAATGACAATCACAGAGAGACTGACAGTCAGAGTTGTATTAAATAACTAATGGATGTGTCTCATAGCTTTGTGTTGCTGGCCTGCTGATGGCAGGCTTGGAGTGGCCTCAGATGTACAAATGAAGCTGAGACTGGGGCAGCAGGTGGCTGTTGAGCGCTGAAACACAAGTGCTCAGCACTACGGAGTGAGTGGACACAGGTTTGATGTCCCCTCGCTCTGCTGAGTCCTGCTCTGCAATGCTGGCTGAAGGACAGCACCTGTACTGATGAAAACTGACATAACACATTCAAAGCATTCAAATGTAAAAGCTTCACTGAAACGCAAATAGCAAAAGTCATCAACGCTAAAACACTTACTTTTCTCCATAATACTGTTCAAAGAATTTTTCCTTCCACTGTTCAATTTTCTTCTCTTTTTCAATCTCTTGTCGGATGCGTATCTGCATTTCAGGAGTAAATTCACCTGCACAAAGTGTGAAACGGAATTACACTCAGGCTGGCTGCAACATGTGCATGTCTTATTAGAGCCCCTCTCTCTTATTGGCACTCTCTCTGGCTGGAGAAGCCCATATTTTACTCCTCTCTGCTGTATGCACATATAGCATCTTCATATACAGATTAGCATCAAATATAGTAGGACCACATTTTATTATAATGCAGGTTCACTTATGATTGGGGAATGTTGGCCAGAATGTTGACTAGCGCTGTGGGATTTTTAATTTCTACCTGAAAAGGTAGATTTGCTTTAATGTCTTGTCCAAAGGGTACAATAAATTCTATCCCACAATAATAATAATCCTTGCATTTGATATAGCGCTTTTCACGTCTTCTAGACGTCTCAAAGCGCTTTGCAAAATATACTGTAAAGTCAATTGACTGTATATTTGTGTGTGAAACCCGGCAGCCAATTACGCACAGCAGTGTCCCACAAACAGTCATGGATTGAAGTGACCAATTTTTATTATTTATAAGCTTGTTATTATTGTTATTATTAGGCATGTGGAGTAAGGAAACTTGCCCAAGGTTTTGCGCGGCTGGGAATCAAACCCAGGTCTTTCGCTTGCAAGGCTCTAACCACTGAGCTACAGGAATCCTTGCTGTTGTGTTAGTGCCTTAGTCTTACCCCAATGCCTTAGTGAGTTTCCAATGCCTCCCAACGTGAATGGCGCTATACAAGTGTAATTTGTTGTTGTTGGCATATGTGTGTGTGCCTTTGTGTTAATTATCACATCACGTACCACATTCCTCCAGTAACAGAAAATGATAAATTAAATATTTTCCAGGAATATTTCACTTCAGAGACTGGACACATGAGTAACTCACATCTTCGGCACTCATGTTATGAATCTTTCGCAGGAGTGCTTTCTCCCTATAAAGATTGTATATTTTTAAAGTGTCCAAACAGACAATGACTGTAATCATGCCAATGCACTCTCAGGCTGCTGCCGTAATTCATAAACTGAACTGACTGCTGATAAACCACCAGCTTTCAAATTATATCTGACATTTCCTACTGGGACTTTTACATTCTTAAAAGTCAATTTAGTATTTTTTATTTTGTTTTAAACTGTTTTATGTATGAAAAAAAATCTGCTCCATGACCTGGTTCCTAAGGAGAATGCCAACTGCCCCTGATGCAAGTAATAAAACGCTGTAAGATACACTTTTATGTGGCAAGTGCTTGAAATATTGATTGCAATGCTACAGACTTGTGACTGTTATCAGATTTCACCGATTTGTATTCATCTTATAGGCGTTTGCCTAAAAAACAGTCACTACACTTTACAGTATATCCTGTGAAGCACTTTGAGATGTCGTCATGATGTGAAAGGCACTATATCAAATTCAAGGAATTTTATTACTATCATCATTATCTTTATATTCTTTGAAATTTGATCTTTGACAGACCGTGCTTATGGTTTACTGTACTGGCACACTGGAGCTGCCTTACACCTCACTCTTAGTGCAGGTTATGACTGAGTGCAGTTTATGGGCCGTGCTAAAAATAACATGATGCATTTGTCAAGACTGCTTGGTAGAGTCTATTGCTGACTATTAGATTGAACATTCACAAAAGGCATTGCTGAGTGGACGTGCCTGACATTCAGTAGAGGGGAAGAAATCCACACAGTGCACTTTACTCAGAAGAGGTATGAATGTTGGCCTTGCTTTAGAAGGCGGAGAGCAGGGGTGTCCTGTGGATCTGCTGGCTATCTGCACCGCCTGCTGGCCAGAAGAAACCAGGCACTGGATCATCGTTCAGATTGAGGGAAGCCAACAGAAACAACACTTAACAGCGTGACTGTTTGGATCGACAAAGCATTTGTACTATTTAAAGTGAGTGACACGGATGAAAATCACAACCACACGCAGTAACAATACCGCAATAAATTATTTGCTGTTTTAAAATAAAGAAAATAAAAGCAAAGTCTGGCTTTGCACATCAGACATGTATTGATAAATTAATTGTACCTTCTGCTAACCGCTCCTTCCAACCTTGCGCTGCATAAGCAAAGAACTCATTATTCAGGGCTGAGGCACTGAGGCGCATAACCCCGTCACATCCCATCTGAAAACAAGGTAATGGCACTATGAGTGCAAGAATGAAATAAACATTACATTGTGGAGAAAATATGCTGTCCCATTGATTATAAACCAAAGTGTATCATTTCACACACTACGCAGCAAGTGAAGATGAACTGATTACATTTTGTTTATCACAGAGACTGTATTCCTTTAGTCAGTTTGCCTTAGGTAGAAATCAATATTGCACTAGCCCAAACATGCTGCTCAAGGTAGCCTACAAACTGAACTCTTCTGAAACAGCTCTGCCACAATTTAACACTTTGAGGACTGAATCTCTACAATACTTGGGACCTTCTGCAACAATAACAATTCAGCACATCTCAAAACCTGCAGCATAAGGTCTAATTTGTAATATTCACAAACCAGAATTGATGCCATACTTGCTATTGCTGGTTGGGAATGTCAAAAACGCCTATTTTGAATTGATACAGAATGATTGATGATAAGGAGATACAATATCAATGCAAAACATTTACTGGAACTGCAAATCAACAGTCCGGTGTAAATGAGACTGTTATTAAATGGACATCTTGGGGGCAGTCGTTCTGACAGGGTCTGTCCAAGGTCATTTTCTATTTACATATCCAGAACACAATATAGAAAATTAGAGTAATTATCTGTGAAACAAACGCTTGGGGAAGTTCAACATGATAACGTGTTATTATTTAAAATGTACTGATATGAGCAGGTGACTAGTGTAGATGAAAGTTCTAACACTCAAAGGGATTGGGATAAATTGAATTATATTGGCTTAGGAATGGTGTGTGGGCTTTAACATGGATAAATGCAAGGCTATTCACTTTTTTGTGAATCATTCAATGTGTACATACACTTTTATTCACATTGTAGGTGACAAAGAGCCAAGGCTCACACTGTAATGCATCACCAAGTTTGGAAAGAAAATCAGAGAGCATAAGTTAAACTCAGAAGGTGCTATGTAACATAAAACCTAAAAGCTGTGAAAGAAATTGAACTAAACATTATAATTGAAGGCTATGAAGGAGAGCAAGGTTTTGTGATTCAGCTATTTGACTAAGAGAGGAGTGAAGGCTATGTGCAATGAGGACACACAATCTGAAGGTTGTTGATGAATGTTGAGTGAAATCATTAGAAAAGGAGTGGATGGGATTTGATGCAGAGTGGAAGAAATCTTTTTTTGGTGCGCTAGAATTTTGATACATGCAAAAAGTTCTTAAGTCTTCAGTTGCTAGCAACAGAGAACTAATAGAGCCAGTATTTGCTGGTGCTGGAGTGTGTGACTGCTGATTTGCGGAAGTATCGGCTCTTCATTAAACACAGAACTCAAAAGCCTACCACACTAGCGATCCCGAAGTCTAATGCCACAGACCCAGCTCCTCCAACTTCACCATTAAGAACAGCATCAGGGATGGCCTAGGCCATAATCAGTGTGTGAGAAAAGTCCACTATGTTGATTATGTATCATGTACATCATGAAAGATAAAGAAGTGTTTACAAATAATAATTTGCAAATAATAATAATCCTTGCATTTGATATATGACAACAACAACTTGGATTTATATAGCACCCTCAATGCCGGATGGCATCTCAGAGCGCTTCACAGTAACGGATCCTGGGGCTGAGCCAGGGGGAGGGGGAGGAAGGCGACCCCGCAGTCGAAAAGAAAGGTCTTCAGCAGAGACCTGAAAATAGGAAGAGAGGGAGCGAGGCGAAGGAGTGAGGAAGGGAGTTCCAGAGCCTCTGGGCATAGTGGCTGAAGGCACGACCGTCGAGGGTGGAGTGGAGAACTCGGGGGACAAGGCGGAGGCCAGTCCCGGAGGAATGAAGACAACGGGTACTGTTTTGAGGAGAGAGGAGGTCAGAGAGGTAGGGGGGTGCAGAGGAGTGGAGGGATTTGAAGACAAGGGTGAGGATCTTGAAGTCGATCCTCTCTGGGACAGGCAACCAGTGCAGTCTGGCAAGGACTGGGGTAATCGGGGAGTGGAGATTTGTGCGGGTGAAAATGCGGACGGCAGAGTTTTGAATAATCTGGATTTTATGGATGGTAGTGGAGGGGAGGCCGGCGAGGAGGGCGTTTGAATAGTCCAGCCGAGAGGTGACAAAGGCATAAACCAGGGTTTCAGCGTCTTTCGGAGAGAGGTATTGGCGGAGATGGGCGATGCGTCAGAGGTGGAAGAAAGCGTATATTTTGAAGTGTATTTTGTGGCCAAAATGTGGCGGGCTGTTTGTGCACAAGAATGTAACAAACAGCTAAGAATGAGTGACCAACTTTATTTGGGGAATTGTGGCCAGGCCACCGGAAGAAACCCCCTTCTCTTTTTGAGTAGTGCCATGGGATCTTTAACATCCACCTGAACAGGCAGATGGGACCTCAGTTACCATCTCATCAGAACGATTGCACCTCCGACAATGCATGCATAATATTCACATAGAATAATTGGGCAAATGTAAGTTTCAATAAATAACTTCCGGAGCAAAACTCACTCAACATTTTTTAGTTTCATTTCCACTTCTTTGATCTTTTTAAAAGCTAAATATTGTTAGAGCCAGAAACAGCTTGAGTCAGCTCAGTTCAGGCCTATTGCTCTGCAAGTAGAAGTTTTATAATTTATGTGAGCTGCTGAATTCGATCCGTCAGTGGACTCGCTGAAGCTGAACCCGCAGGCATGTGTACACAGGCATCCAGCAGAGCCACTCACTAACTAACCAGAGATGTAACCAGAGGAATACTTTCATGTTATTGTGGGGACAAATTAGCGATTCAAGAAAACAAATGTTGCAAAATGTATTCTTTCAAAAGCAAATCAGACAGATTTCTTTTAGGAAATAATATCTTGGGATACAGTGTATAGTTTGGGACATGACATGTGCATGCGACTGCCAGGAAGGTGGAAGGCGAACTGGATGGACCTTGGTTTTCTTTCGCCGAGCAATTCTTATGCTCTTTTGTATGATTGAGCACAGTGACGAATCCCAGTATAGTGTTTTGGAAATGAATGAGGAATAGGCAAATTTGATAAAATGCAGCAATGGTTTAGGAACAGAACTTTCTATGATCTTAGTCTCAAGAACATTGTGTTAAGATTTTTCATTGTGTAGAATTCCTTAAATTCAGTCTTAATTTGGTAGCCAATTTTCTGCAGTTCTTAAAAAGGTGTCAATATAGTAACTACAGTTGGAACATTTCAGCAGATCCGGTAAAGATATCTAGATTTTGTTTACACTAAGTTTTTTATACGCGCATGGAGTGATCAATACTTGTGACAGACTGGAAAAGTGAGGTTTAAAGCAAGGACACATTATCCAGCACCTAATTTAACTTCAACAAAAGATTGGGATCACTGAGTGAAAAGCTGAGTTTGTTTATTAAAAAGATGTTTGGGAGAATGCCATTTCTGATCCTCGGCACTTTACCTTGTGTACTAGCACTACTCCAGATTGAGCAATCACTTATTAAAATGGCTCAGTCACAGTCATATTTTAATCCCACAAAAAATAGCATAAATCTTGATTTTAAAAAGGTAGGGAAAGATTGGATAGTGAGCATTTTAGGCAGCACAAGAAAAATGTTTCTTATGACTTTTGCAAAATTAGAAACTGCATTAATAAAAAATATAAATTATCTTTTTAGATTAGTGTGTTTTTCTTGCAAATTAGAGGCTTTTTAACACTACTTTTGTGTTTCTATAAATATTATTTGGATATTTCCAACACTGGATATTTGTAACAATAGGCTATACTTTCTATGTAGAGCTTTTCAAAGTAGTACCATAAACTAGTTGTGTTGCAAGACGTAGCATTCATTTAAATTGGAATGATCCTTACATTTGATATAGAATATTTCATGCCAGAAGAACATCTGCAAAGTGTAGTGACTGTGCATTTTTGTTGATGCACGATTACTTTGTTTAGCTCATTTGAATTATCTGCTTTCAAGAACATTTTTGTGATTTTGCAACTTTGGACACAGGGGGAGAAATTTCACCTGGGTCTAGATTTATTCTATTAGTGTCACATTACAGCATCCAGAATTTGGCAAAGTGTATCATCCTTGATTTTTAAGTTAGATTTGTTTAGTTATTAAAAGAACTGACAGAAAATGAACTTGAAAATTAAGACTGCATTTAAGAATTTGTCAATAACGGCTGAACATGGGGTATATCAGCTACAGCATTCCATTTTGTTCATTGTAGATGTGTTTGTGCATTTTACATAAACTGTTGCATTAACTTAAGGGCATTAATTCAGATTTGCCTGTAGTTAGGAAAAATAAGCTGGACTAAAAGTATATACCCAGCAAATAAGGATAGCTTGTGTTTGTGCTGATGTATCATCTGCCACAAATCCTGCAACAGCGATGGATGATTAGAATAAAACATCTTGACTCTTGTGCTCCTACGGTTTTATTCCTCTGAGGTCCTGAAGCACTTACCGCTTCCATAGGGAAACCACCTTACCATTAACTGCAGCAAGAATTAAGCCAGCAGTATACTTCACAGAACCAATCTCAGGCTTGTCATCTCTCATAGTCTTAATTTAAGGTCATGCAGATTTTTTAAAAAAATGTTTTGAATTCAGCCTTAATGTGGAAGCGGATTTTCTGTAATAATTGAGAGAAATTATGGAAATCTGTTGGGCTCCAAATTAAGTATGTTGTAAAAAATTCTGCTCGATCTTGAATTTTCAAATATTGGTTCTAAGGCTGAAAGGGTGAGAAATTTCAGATTTGTGGTAATGTAATTACAACAACAAAAAATAAATTTGTTATAGCGCCTTTAACATTGGGAGGATGTCCAAAAGCACTGGGCAGTCAAGGATGTGCCACAAGTACTACCGTCACAAACACATAAAGTGATCATTTGTAGTTGTGGTTTATTGGAAAGTTATACTGTAATTTTTCTTTATTGAATCAGAAATCCTGCACTTTGGAGGCAAATGTAGGTAGATCTGGAGCTCGGAAAACAGCCGTTTTACAATTTTAGTTGTCTTTGGAGACAAATTAATCGTGTGAAAGTGATATTAGTGGTTAATTCCATTACCCAAAAGCTCACTTACAGAAAATGTGTTCAAATACAGTAGCAACTGGACAGATAAAAGGAGATTCCACTCTTCTGCACACAACATAAAGAGCAGCTGTCTCTGTTTGACAATACACCACTCTATATAAAACTAGATAGGTTCATCAATGACATTGCAAACTCTATAATCCCTTACTTTTGACACAGGTTACTGACTTATTTTAAACAGATGGAACTAACTGCAATTTAGTAATCACCTAATCATAGAAATGCCACATTGTCATGCATTTGTCTAACAAGTTAAGAATCTCCGACAACTGTAAATTGCTTTAAGTGGTGACAGCCCTGAGTGAAGTACTGTATCTCTGATGAATAATTATGTTAAACCACTTCCAGAAGGTGGGTAATGAGTTTAAACGTCATTCAAGCATATTGGAAATAAGGGTCTTTGTCTTAGAAAAAAGGAATCCAGAACTCAAGTTAGGAACATAGTTATCAGATAACTTTAAGTGGTGACAGCCCTGAGTGAAGTACTGTATCTCTGATGAATAATTGTATTAAACCATCTTCAGAAGGTGGATAAGTTATCTGATAATAATCTTTTAATTTTCTCCCAAAATTACTTGTTCTATAATTTGCACAATATAAGGATAGTGTGGCTCCTTGCAGGTTGCTCAACTCCCAGTATGTTTGTAATTGTGCATAAAAGCATCGAAGAGGGTAAAGGGAATAGAAGGCTGTACGTGAGGGGAATAGGAGAGGTGATGGCTCGTGTGGAGTATAAACACCGGCACAGATAAGTTGGGCCGAATAGCCTGATTCCATGTCATATCACTCTATGTAAAAGCGATTTGGAGAGAGTACGCATTCTATTCCAAACACAGGAACATTTCCAAAGTGAGCAAGCTTTTAGCCATTCTGTCTCTGCTTTATGGAACTCCATTCCTTTGCCTTGCCTCCTACCTCCTCTCCTTTTATGCCAATTTAAGACCCTTCTGTTTGACTGTGCATTTGGTCATATTCCCTCCCACCACCTGCGAAACATTTTGAGATGTCTTATGACGAGAAAGATGCTATTTAAATTAAAATTATTATTGTTGTACTTCAGTTTTTAAAAGGTTGAAATGAGCAGAGTTAGGAAGATGTAATGATGAAAGATAAAGAAAAATTAAAGTAATCCAGATTTTAAACTCAATCTCGATTGTGAAAAAATTGTCCAATGAATTCAAAAATGAGGCCGAGCAGTTCTTTCTAAGACCTGTCTGAAGTCTCAGCTCCTTCTCTCTATACAGTGTAACACAGCTTCTCTCAGGGCCAGAAAAAAAACTTGCTACTGAGGAGTCTGTAGATTGAGGCTCCAAAATAAAATGAATCTTATCCTGAAAGAGTGGCAACCATAAAATGGAAATAAATTAGCATGATGCATTTTTTTTATTGCTAAGCCATTAAAATCAAACATCATCAGGCTTCAAATGCTCTGTATAAATTTTGGGGTAAATTATAATGTGTTATGATTTTTATTTGTGGGGAGGGGATGTTAGATATAAAACTAGTTGCTGTTTTGGTCACATCACATTATCAGTCATCAGAAAACCATTGTGTTCTTACACATTTTGTCAAGTTAAAGTCTTGGGCAAAGTTTGCATTTTAGGTCATGGTGTGAAATACATATCGCCAACAGAAAGTGAAAAGTACTTTGAGTTCTGCTCACCTGTCTGTCTACTTCTGGGAGTAGAAGCAGAAGTTGCTGTTGGAAGTGAATTGGCAGAGAGGCAAACGTGTGCTTGTTTATTAAAGCTCGCAGGTTAGTGTTCACCAGGATGGAACCTGGGGTTTCAACATCAATTTCCTCCCCCCTTGTCCGTTTCAGCTGTCCTGTTTTTTTTAAAAAACAATTGATTAATACTTTCAATTCACGTGGATTGGGCTGTGACCTTGATTACATTCCTATTATCAAATAGAAGTGGACATGTTTACTCTGCATAAAAATACCTTCTCTTTCCACAACTTTTGCAAGAGAAATACAGATGACGATGGCCCTTTGACCCACCCACTCAGAATACTGACCTGAACATAACACCATCAAGTTTTTTTTCCGAATGTCCAATATCCAATATAGCCTCTCCTTGGTAACACGTTCATGCTATTAATTATACTCTTGTTATGTCAGTTCTAAAAGTGCCCTTCACTACCCTGACACTGCCCTCTTTTCCTGCTGCTCTGGCACAATTGTTCTGGGTTTACATTAATAGCCTTGGTTTGTCTAGTCATTGACAAAACACTTTAACAGTAGAAATCACTCGCTGCTCTTCTCTGCACTACTTCTAGGGCAGTTGCTTAATGTTACGGTGACCAGAACTGTAAGCAGTTCTCCAGGTGCGGTTTGACCAGAGATATAGGTTGTTTCCATTGTCTAGAATGTTTGCTAATATTAGCAGCAAATGAGCTTCAGTTACAGCAATTTAGTAACAAGATTTTTTGTATTGACTTTTTAAATACAACAACAACTTGCATTTATATAGTGCCCTTCATGTGGGGTAGTGTCCCGGAGCGCACAGCAGTGTCGCACAAACAGTCATGGATTGAGTAACCAAATTATTATTTGTTTTTAGGGATATATAGATATTGGCTTCACAAAGGAATCCTTCCTGTGGTGGGAAGAGTTAGATGGACATTCAAACAACCTCTCAAAGTGGAAGTACGAGTACAGGGGATTTGTGAGACATGTTCATTTAAATGCTTAAAAAACAGGCTAAGGTCATCAGTCTTAATCTGATAGCCGATTTTCTGCTGTGGTTTTCCAGATTCCAAAATTCTTTTCATCCTCGTGCTTCCAAATGAATGCAGAATTTTCCAAAATTCTGCCTGATCCTAAATTTCAAGTCAATGTCCTTAAAGCAAAGACAATCAGAGTTTTCTGGCCTCAGATGTTTCCATAAAGCACAGGAGTCTAAAGCTCATTTGATAGCCTCTGCAAGCATCATTCTTGCTGACGATAGCGCACTGCTTTGATGTTGTGCCTTTTTCTTTGAAGATAAAGGCAGTGCTATATTACTTGGAACCTGAAATTTCCAGGTTGGTGATTTGCAAATGCTCGGACTATCTATTGCATGTTATCTGTCAATAACTCACAGCAGCCTTTCATGTACCTTACGGAAAACTTCACCGTCACCTACCTTTGTCTACAAAATACACAATTGTTGCGCTTTACAATAAATCCTGTGAAGCATTTTGAGACCTCCTCCTAATGTGAAAGGTGTGGTATTGAAAGCCAGGATTATTATAAATGCAAATGCAAGGATTATAAACTTCCACTTGATAAAGCACCTTATTATGCCAAAATGTCTCAAAAAGCTTCACACAACTGATTAGTTTGAAGTATAGTGAACACTGTTAAATCACACATATAGCTAAACTGTACAAGAATGATCTTGCAAACAGCAATGGCCAAGTGATCATTTATTTCCCCGAGTTTGGAAGGGGGAAGAATATTGGCATAGAGAACATTCCCTTCTCATCTATGGAATAGTTGCATAAGATTTTAATGTCTAACTGAAGCACCAGAATAGGCAGACAGGTTCTCGGTTTAATATCTCAACCTGAGTAATACTATCCGATTAATGTTAAATTATAGTCAGTGTTTAATTGCAGACAGCATTTTCAATGACAAGCTATGTGATTTTGTGTGGTTAAATTCCAATATTACCCCAACGCACACTTTGGAGTCCCCAAGCCTTGGCTCTTGCCAACCTGCTTCTGATACTCTCTGGAATTAGGTAAGCAATGTGATCCCTCTAAGGAGAGTGAGTTTCCACATGTATCAGACATCCGATTGACCAAACAAAGAATCACCGATGACCAACAATAAAAATAGGTAATGTTCAAGCCCTCCCCCTCCTGCCTGGCACACATTGGAGAGCCCCCGACAGCAGGGGTTCATTGAATCATAGAATAAGACAGCACAGAAGGAGCCCATTTGGCCCATCATGTCTGCGCCAGCTCTTTGAAGAGCTATCTAAATCAATCCCACTCCCTCGCTCTCTCCCCATAGCCCTGCAAACTTGTCCACCCCAAATAATTATCTACTTCTCTCTTAAAAGTTGTTATCGAATCGGCTTCCACCACCCTTTCAGGCAATGCATTCCAGATCAGAACAACTCTCTGTGTGAAAAAATTTCTCCTCACTTCCCCTCTGTTTCTTTTAATAACTATTTTAAATCAGTGACCTTGGGTTACTGACCCACCCGCCAGTGGAAATAGTTTCTTCTTGTTCTTCTTGTTCATCGAATCCCCTCGTAATTTTGAAAACTTCTATTATGTCTCCTCTTAACCTTCTGTGCTCCAAGGAGAATAATTCTGTTTTCCCTCATTCCTGGTACTATTCTGGTAAATCTCATTTGAACCCTCTCCAATGCCTTAACATCCTTCCTAAGGTGTGGTGCCCAGAACTGAACACAGTACTCTAGCTGAGACCTAACCAGTGTTTTATAAAGGTTCAACAAAACTTCCTGACTTTTGTATTCTATGCCCTATTTATAAAGCCTAGTATCCCGTATGCTTTTTTAACAGCTTTATCTAAAATTTTATCTGCCACTTCAAAGATTTACTTATGTGAACCCCCAGGTCTCTCTGTTCCTTCACATCCTTATTATGGGAGAAGCATCAGAAGCATTAGGAGGTTGCAGGATCTGCATAATAACTGTTTGAGGGAAACAGCTCAGATGCCACAATGTCTGTTACAGTGAATGGCCCACAATGTGGCCTGCCTTTTAACAAAATACACTCCTGAGCCAGGCTACATCAATCTTATAACAAGGATAACTGAGAGCCTTATCACAATGTTGTTAATATCTATCAGAAATTCTTCATCAGGCAGAGTGGTGAAAAAATGATTTCTGTTCTGATAAGTTTTATTTGAAGTTCGCTCAGCTGCACACTCTAAGTGTTAGCAGAATGACAAGCCGACTGCACTAACACAAGCTTTTCAATCAGCCTCTTTTCAGTCCAGCACTTTCCAAATAATAATCACTGTATTGCAGACAGGCTGTCATTAGCAGTGAGTTACATTCCACTTTAATGATATTTTAGTGACATGATTAGGGCCTGAGCTTAATGCATATCCCACTGCCATCCATCCATTAATCTTCAATTAGGGACAGCAATGCTTTCTAAAATTTACGCCTTGCAAAACGTTGTTGCTGTTGCATTGCAAACTTTTAGGTTTAAAAGCATCATCATGCACGGCCTGTGCAAGCTGTATGTGGCTTATTGATCACTGTCTGTTAAGATCAGATCGCAATCTCAGTGAAATGCTCCAGCAACTGATGGACCGCTTGTCATCTTTCATCTTTCATTGAACACAATGAGGGAATGAAAGTACAGTAAAAGTACAGCAAGGTTACAGAGATCAAAATATTTGGAAATACAGGTGTACATCAGCACCCCATATCTATAAGCCAGATAACTGGATGCAATGTCTTGCTGAAGTTTTGAGATAAAAATCTTTAGTTGCACAGATGTATATTATTACTACAAACACATTAAAACTGGTTACAGGATTATTTCTGAGTAATCAAATTACTGGGAACAGCTTTTTTTTAGAAGGTGCAGAGGGGAGGTTATAGAGAGGCTGAGATAAAGAAACACATAGAGACACACAGAGTCTGAGACAAAGACAGAGAGGGGGAGACAGAGGAAGACCGAGAGAGAAAAAGAACGTGAGGCAGAGAGAAACACACACACACGCAAAGACACACAAAGACACATTTACTCACACACAGAATGAGAGGCAGAGAGACAAAGATACAGAGCGATTCTGAAACAGAGACACAAAGAAATACACCCATTGAGGTACACACACACAATAAAACACACATACATAAACTCAAAGTATGTATTAAACATTTCTTAAAATTGACACTTTAATTTAAGCATCAGTATTCTGAGAGAACTGCAGAATACCAGATTCAAAATTAAGACTGAGTTTAAGATTTTCGCTAAGTTCTGCACAATCTTAAAACCTTAAGACAATGGACACCTCCTGATGCTACCCTCTACATCACTTTCTCTGTTAATCTCCGTTGCAGTCAGTCTTTCACATGGTTATAACCAACCGCTTTCATGATTAAACTGATGAGTTTTTTTTAAATCACAAGTTTTCGTTACACTCTCCACTACTCACTTCAGTGTGCTCCAAAGCAAGCCCTATCCTGACAGCACTATCCTCTCAGCCTGCCCCATCATTTTGTACTACTATAAACCACTGGCTGAAATTCAGAATTATAATTACACTTGGTTGTGCTGATATCTCTATTGAAGGAATCACAGTGACGGCCTCACAAAACCTCTTGGGTTTAGGGCTTCTGCATGACGTTGTTCAGACCTGTTGCTTTTAGTCATAGATTTGAACCAGGCTACAATGGGTTGCCTGCATTCTCGAAATCTTGGAGGTGGCAAACATTTGATAAATCACCTTTCAGGGTGTACCCTAGAGGATAACAAAGTGCGGTTATAAACAATTACTTTTCACGATTGAACAAATGGTAAAATTAGTTTCTTTATAAAAAAAACTGTTCCTTGAACACGCTCCATGATCACTCAAGTGTGCTCCAAAGCATGTCCTCTGGTGAACTTCACAGTGATTCTACTTAATAGCAACCACAATTGCTTCCTTTGGCAAACCTTTATCAAGATCGATATATTTAATGTGGAAGAAGAGCCGTGTGCTGGTTTTGTTATGATGGCATTAAGTACAAGCGGCTACAAACCCATTAAAATGACACAATGGAAATATTGCTATTCTTAGCAATCCACACACGATAAACCTCAAAGATGCTTTTTGGCATGATACACGTCATCACATTGTGTATGTGTGTGTAAACAAACAAATATGAAACGGTTGCACAGACAAGTTGGTTACACGACATCACTGCCTTTTTAACCAACTGAGGGGATGGATTTCATTGCTGAATTGATAGAATTTGACTGGTGCATCTGAGGAATAATGAAGAAAGATGGGCTGAAGCTGCTGGCATTACCTGAACTTGATCGTTTCAGCCTCTTCAGCTGCTGATCCGTTGCTTTAGTTAGGCCTGGTGTTGATCTCAGCTCTTCTCTTAATTCCTTATCAGAACCATTCACTTCACCGGCATTGTTTGATTCAGATCCTGAACAAGAAGAAAACAGGACAATGTTTTGCTTCGCCGAGTTTTATACATTTGCCTTAACAAATCAGCAATTCACCCTCAAGGCTGCATGGTAGCTTACACTACATTACCAGTCTGAAATGTGCTCAATTTACATATCTTCCACCGATTCCAACTTTCGAATGCAGATGATGAGTTTGGCTAACGTTGCTTTACCTATTGACTCCAGTGTGTTCACGTTTCACTTACAAATTGCTGGCTTTCCTTTGTTAATAATATTCCTTTCATTTGAATCTTATCTTAGCGCCTTATATATATCATCGAATAGATTCAAGCAGGATTTTACTGTAAAGTGTAGTGACTCTGTATTTGCAGGTGAACAAATTGGACCATTCACAACGTTTAATCAGACATCTTCAGCAAGACCCTTTTTTCCTTCTCAGTGAGAATAAGCAGATGTTTGTATTCATTAAATTACTTCTTGGGACTCACATGCCTCAGGACTAATGCAACTGTCTGGCTCTGTAGTGCAATTTGTGGTGTAATTGGGCAACACATACAACACAAGAGACAGAGCCTATCAGGCAAATATTCTCATGTGATTATGTCACTGTAATTATCAGTTACATTTTTGGCCATGTCAAAGGTCAAGCAGCCTCTTCTCCTGATGAACTACATAGTCTGGAATGATCCTAGTAATGATGATGCAGTGCTGGGGGTTAACATTGTCGGAGATACAGTCCTTCAGGTGAGACATTAAACCGAGGTCCCGTCCGCTTGTTCAGGTGGACGTTAAAGATCCCATGATGCTATTCAAAAAGAAATGGAAGTTTCTCCTAGAGTTCTGGGCAACAATCCCCCAAATCAAATTGGTCATTCGTTTCCTGGCTGTTTCTAGGACAATGCTGTGTGCAACTGGGTTGCCCCATTCACCCTCAAATACACACTAAATCCAAAGATTATTATTATTATGATTGTTGTATTATTATATCAAAAGTTCTTGGTGCGTCTCAAACCTCCTTTTAGGGGATTGTAGAGCATCGGAAATTTGGTAAATTCTTAAATACAGGCATAATTTTAAAGCTAGTTTTCTGTAAGTTCTTTTAAGATATACCTAAAGCTGGCTTTTAAGTTCAGACCAAATTCAGCAATTTGCCAATTACAGAAGCTCTGAAATGCTAAGAAAATTGAGTAAAAGGCCTTCTGCAGGACCCTTCCACTCTACCATCAGTAGCAAAGCTTTCAGATACTTCACCCCAAACCTGTGGAACTCCCTGCCTCAATCGCTCAGCATTATCCCCTCTTGGCCCATCTTCAGATCATAACTGAAGACTTTCCTCTTCCCCTTTGCCCATGGTTGCCTTCCCCTTTCTCCCTGGCTCAACATCAAATTACACTACTGTTAAGAACGCCAAGGTGTTACCCCACGTGAAGGGCACCATACAAATGCAAGTTTTTGCTGGGTGAGGCTGTGTGTATACAGGAGAGACACTGGGAGAGGCTGTGTGTATACAGTGGGAGACACTGGAAGAGTGTGTATGTATACAGGAGAGGCTGTGTGTACAGAAGAAATACTGGGAGAGGCTGTGTGTATACATGCCTGATAATAATCCTTCAAGAAAACAACAATAATGATTTGGTCACTCAATCCACGACCGGTTGTGGGACACTTCTGTGCGCAATTGGCTGCCCCGTTTCATCCACATATACAGTCAATTCACTTTACAGTATATTCTGTGAAGTGCTTTGAGACGTCTAGAAGACGTCAAAAGTGCTGTATCAAATGCAAGGATTATTATTATTAAATCTAAACCCAGGTGGAATCTCCACGAATGAGGCCTGACAGGATGCTGGTTATGATATAATAATAATAATCCTTGCATTTGATATAGCACTTTTCACGTCTTCTAGACATCTCAACGCGCTTCACAGAATATGCTGTAAAGTGAATTGACCATATATTTGTGGGCGAAACGCGGCAGCCAATTGAGCACAGCAGTGTCCCACAAATAGTCGTGGATTGAAAATGACCAATTTATTATTGTTTTGGAGGGATTATTATTAGGCGTGTGGAGTAAGGAAACTTGCCTAAGGTTTCGCCCTGTCTGGAATTGAACCCAGGTGTCTCGCTTGCAAGGCGAGTGCTCTAACCACTGAGCTACAGGACTCCATAATTACATGCAATAGAACCACACACAATATTCATAACATTATCAATCGCTTGTATTGAGTGACATTTTCCCTGCTGTGGTAGTGATCTCATTCAGTGAAAGGCACAGGACGATTAATTGCACCCAGAATCTTAGCAAATTCTGTCATATCACAAGTAACTTTGAACAGAAGTCACCCTACTCTAGGATTCTTCAAGCTGGGGTTTGTGGGCACTAACGGAATCTTTTGAGCTGAGGACTGACTGTAAGGGTTAACAAATTGGCAGCTATGTATCATGGAATATAATTTAAAACATGTTTATGATTCTACAAAGAGTAGTGGCTACAGAACAAACAGAATAAATCAACGGTGACAATGATTCCAATCTTTCTTTCACTGGTGTGTGAAAAAAACATAGCTCACTGCCACCCGCGGTGCACTTGAGTCATGGGACTTTCATAGTCATGATAGAACTGACATAACTTATCCTCATCAGTGGGAGGCTCCTTATATCTTTTATTTATTATTGTACTCTGTGTCTCATATCTTTGAGCCCTCTAGGTACAAGAGAAAAGTACACCACGGTCAGTAGATTTTTTCCTTTCATTATATTCTTCTCTTTGCCCCTGCTTCACGCTGTGCTTGGGCTGTCGGTCACAGTGGAAGATGTTCCATGAAATAAACAAAAACTACAAATCCCAAGAAGGAAAATAAAACATTAAAAAATGCCACATGACGCCATGTGTAAAAATACACCAGCAGAGACTCACATTTAATTGGCAAGCTCCAGTGAGAAGATTACCTTGGTCTACCGAATATCAATTACATTGACCATTTCCATACTCTATAAAATGATGAGTCAACTCGTGGCTTGGACTGTACTAGGTTCAAAATGGTTGCCATGTTTGTCTACGAAAGTAGGCACTATACATGACAGTAATTACTGCATATTGCTTTGAGACATTTTTTCATGATAAGACATGTAATATGCAAGCTCTTTCCTTCCTTCCACTTTCTGAAGCACTATTCGATATTGTAGAGAACAATAATGTATTAATATTTACAGAGGGTGCTTAGTAAAGGATAGCCTACTATTGTTCAAACATTCTCAGAAAGGGCTTTGCAGATTGGCGGGCGTAACCTTCATCAAATGCTATAACATCCTCAGTCGGCTTTGGATTTGTGAAGAAACTATTTCTCTTGTGCAACCTTAATTATTTCCTAAAACCATAATGGTTCTTTGAATAGACATTTTCCTGGAGTGAGAAGGGGTTACAACCTCTTAAGTCTAAACTTCATAAATCTAAATAATATTCTGCCTGAACTTGTACCGGCAATGAATGCTCTGTCACACTAACCTCTGCATTAAATACCTGTAAAATTAAAATCTCCTGATCTATGGTCTTGTTTGGGGCTTATTCATTTGTTTGTTTACACTGCAGTTCTACTCTCATAATCTAATTAAATCACTTCCTATGTTTCTCAGCATTTTAAAGACCTGAATCATGCCATCTTCTCAGCCTGCTGATTTCCACTGAAAACAAGTTCAGTTCCATATACGAGTGTCTACTCATAACGTACAACTGTTTGCAGGGCATTGCTGTGTGTAAATTGCCTACAGATAACAGTCACTACATTTCCCAGAAAATCCCATGAAACATGTTCAGATGTTTCGACAACATAAGGCACTACTGGATATCAAATGCAAGGATCATTATTTAGGTCCACTTGTTCTCCACAGAACACTTCAAGGTCATTTAATTGATTTAGTATGAGTTCCATAAACATTCATCTTTTTTTTAAAAAAAGCTTCAAGTGTAATGGAAGAATCCAATCACTCTACTTGGATTTCCCTCTGCTAAGATTGAGAACTTGCTGAGTGGGGAATTTAGAGGAGATATAAACCCAATGTGTTATACTGGCTCTTTACTTTGAAAAATCACTATCTTTATGCCAAATGGCCTGAAGTTTAAAAGTAAATACTATATTTGGCAATAGGTCTGCCCAAGAAAGTCAGTGAAACCATCCGAATCAGCTCAAAACAATGACTTACCTGTCGGTGATTCTGGGTGCTCATCTGCTACCTTTAGTGGGGTCAGTACTACGCAGGGAATAGCCTTGTTCATCATCATGGAAACACCAATCCTCCGTTTCTGTTGCTGCTTCAATGCCTATCAATTACATCACGATACAAAATAAGTGACTAAGCAACAAACTCTTTTGCTACTTTATAGCACAAAAATAATCTATTAAACTAAAATATCAAAAGCTTCATTTGTCATAACTTTCTTAATACAATGAACATGACCACAATGATTTGACAAGAGCTGGGGTGTGGTTCTGCACCAGATTACACAACCTTTTCATTAGTTTTGCCAAAAGGTCAAATTAATACAACTCAGCTGTTATATGCTTTAAGTTATGAAACATATCCAATGGATGTATTTTCAGAACATTATTCAGAATAGTGGTATGTTATGCACTCTGTGATCAGTGTTCCTTAGCAATGCTCAATCATCTTGTCATCTGAAGTGATCAAAATCCAGGAATAATAATAATAATCCTTGCATTAGATATAGCGCTTTTCACATCTTCTCGACGTCTCAAAGCGCTTCACAGAATAGACTGCAAAGTGAATTTATGGTATATATTTTGTGGGCGAAACTCCCTAATGAACAACATAACAGGAGCACTATTCCCCCAACACCTGCAGTAATTTAAAGAGAAGCCCACCACACCCACATCTACAATCCACAAGGCACGGACAATACATTCCGGCAAAACACAAGTGTCTCCCACATCTCAACACATAGCAAACTAAATCTCCTGTGCTCCATTCAAAACTCTCAGGGTCTACCGTGGAACTTCGAATGGACTGTTGTCTAACAACTAGTATTTCTACGTAGAATAAGATTTCAGAGTATTTAAGTTATACCCTGAGATTGGCACAGTGATTGCACCCAAGAAAATCTCCGGACTGAAGGTTTCACCAATGGTGGAGACCAACAATTTAGTGCATTCAGAACAGGGCACTGACTGAATTATTCCATATAAAGCAGCCTTCAATGCTTGCCTACAAAATGCCAGATTAAACTTCTGTTTGTTAGAAAATTCAATGATGGCGTCACAATTTTTGTAAAAACAACAACAAAGTTACATTTGTATTGCGTCTTTCACATAGGGAGGGAGTCCTAAAGTGCTGGACAATCAGTGTTTCGGTCCCGAGCTGGGGGTCGGGATCAGGGAGAGTGGAGGGCAGGGGGGGAAAGGAGGGTGATCGAAGGCACGATCAAAGAGGAGGATCTTGAGACTGGTCTTGAAGGAGACAAGGGAGGGGGCTAGGCGAAGGGATGTCCAAAGTGTGGGGACAGAGGAGTAGAGTGGCAGAAGGCCCAACTGCCAATGGTGGGGCAGGCAAGGTGGGGGATGTGAGGCAGGCTGGAGTCTGCTGAACGGAGGGAGCAGGCAGGTTGATAGGGGGTTAGAAGATCGCAGAAGTAGGGGGGAGCAAGGCCATGGAGGGCTTTGAAGATGAGGACCAGGATCTTGAACTGTATCCTCCGTGTGATGGGAAGCCAGTGGAGTCGAGCGAGGATGGGGGTGATAGGGTTGCATAGCCTGGTGCGGGAGAGGATGCAGGCTACAGAGTTCTGGATGATCTGCAGCCTATGGAGGGAGGAGATGGGGAGAGCGACAAGCAAGGAGTTTGCATAGTCGAGCTGGATGTTATGAATGCGTGTACGAGGGTTTCAGTGGCCTGCGGTGTGAGACAGTGTCAGAGCCGGGCAGCACAGATGTGGGACAGAAAGGATAGTTGAGGGTCAAACAAGATGCCAAGGTTCCGGACGGGCTTAGTAAGGTGGAGTGTGCATCCTTGGATGGCGATACTGTCAATGCCTGAAGTGTGGAGGCGCTGACGGGAGCCAATCAGGAGAGCCTCTGTCTTGTAGATGTTCAACTGTAGAAAGTTAGCTCTCATCCAGGACTTGATGTCTGACAGACATTCTGTCAGGACAGCAGTGGTCCTGGAGTCAAGGGTGGAGGCAGAGAGATAGAGTTGGGTGACATGTGGAAGTTGACCCCTCGTCTGCGGATGATGTCACCAAGAGGGAGACTATAGATATTGAAAAGCAGGGAACTAAGGACAGAGCCCTGTGGATCGCCGCATAAGATGGCGCGGGAGCTAGAGGAGAAACCGTTTGTGGAGACGACGTGAAGACGGTGTGAGAGGTAGGATCTGAACCAGTCAAGGACAGAACCTTGAAGGTTGAGATGACAGTCACGAAAAGGCCGAACCTAGGTGGGTTAGTCGGCAGGATGATACATTAATAAAAGGGCACAAACTAGCAAAGTTTCACAACGAATGTTTGAATTAGCAAATGGAATCCACAATGTTGTAAAATTTAAGACTGTCCTGAATTCAGTTTCAATTAGGAAACTGATTATCTGCTTTGGAACACTGTCCCCAAAATTTGCAATAAAACACTTTGAGACTTGCAGACATCACAGGTGCTGTAAAAATCCAATTCCTACTTTTGAAATTTAAGACCATTTTCCAAAAGAAAATTGTGCGTTTTAGACAATGGTCTGAAAACTTCAGAACAGAGTTTGGCTCCCTATTATCTACATACTGTATAAGAGTTCTTTCTGCCTGTTGTCTGGACAACAGTGTAAAATATTTCTCTTTCTCCGTGAATCTGAGCCAAAATAAAAGTCTGTGGGCGTTCAGGATCAGTAGGCCAATTTATTCCGAGTGTGAAGTATTCACTGAATTGCAAAGGGACATCTTGCCAAGCTTCCCTCAGCAGCTCTTCAACATATTCATGTCCTCCTCCTCCTCCTGCCTCTGGTACACCCATATTTCAATATAATTTCACGTGTTCAATTATTAAGCTTTGTCAATCATAACACAAAATGTGCTCCTCTTTATGCAAAATGACCACCTTTTCCTGAAGACCCCGACGGACACCTACATTTTCCTCCGGCGTGTTCTTATGAGCCTGAATCTACCAGGATGTAGTTAAAAAGACAATTCAGATTCAGGCATGAAACAATAAATGTTATTCTTGCATCTTTTTATGAGCTCCTAAGGCCAGAAATTGCACCCAGAATGAGTGGAAGACAATTGTGCCTTACAATTTAAGATTGGGAGGATACGTGCAAAGCGTGCAAATTCAATCTTGATTTGGAAGCCGAAGTGCTTAAAATGCTTCAAAATTAACGACAAATTTAAGAATTTTTCACAATTCTTGACAGTTTTAAATGTGAAAACAAAATGGTCTCATAGGCTGAGACTAGGTCAACTCTTGAGCTTGTGATGCCTTGCAATATTTCTCAAACATTCATATTTACTGACTGAAAAATGTAATTCCCTCCGAGACCCAAAAAATGAAGATGATAGCTATCCAATAATATTTTTAGTTGGCAGCATTTCATTGTTTGGCTTGGTTACGTGTTTCTGGGTGTGTTACAGTGCAACTTGGAACCCATACTCTAGGCTGACATTATCTTGCAGTGCTGGTGATGTGCATTGGCATTGGAGATGCCGTACTTCAGATTAGGTCCCAACTGTCTGTCCAGGTGGACGTTAAAGATTTCATGACAGTATTTGAAAAGAGAAGGGAGAAGGCCAACAACCCCTCAAATAAAATTGGTTATTCACTCCATGGCATGGCTGTAGGACATTACTGTGTGCAAATTTGCTGCTGCTTTTCACCCACAAAATACACAGTCAAACCACTTTGCAGCATATCCTGTGAATCACTTTGAGATGGCTCAATGACATAAGGCAGTGTATCAAATGCAAGGATTAATATTAAATATAGTATTTGGGGGTAAATTCATAATTAAATCTTATAAGTAGGATTATTGATGCCAATGGTGACAAGCTGAGTAGATGAGAGGAATATGGAAATCTGCCTCTATTAGTGATGATAGTAAAAGTCCCAATTTCTTCTTTTGCTTCTTCTTCCTTGTTGCCTTGCTAGGTTGTGCTTTGTTTCTGTTTCAGTTGTTTATTAAGCCTTGATATCTTTCTACTTTGACCATTTTTGTTTGGTTTGGCTGTAGTTCCCTGTCAGGAGTCTCAAATTCTATTAAACGTCCCCCTCCGTGACTTGCTATTTTCTCCTCACCAATATGTCTTCCTGCAAATCTTTCAGTGCACAGATTGTGCAAACAATCGAACAGGTAAATGAATAGATTCCCAGAGGCATCACCCACACAGATGTCTGTTTGTAGACAGCTTCTCTGGTTTCTACTCAGCAAGTTTTCCTCTTAACTTATGCGAGGACATAGGATGTCTCAGTTTTCAAAAAAAATGTTTTGCAAAATCAGGTGAGCCAAATACTCTGAACCAACAGAGATTCAACACTCCACCTCCCACCCCCCCACCTCCCAACTTAGGTTTAGTCTGTTTTGCCTGAAAATTTAAGAAAGACCAAATTGTGGAAAATCATTAAATTTGGTCTTAATTTTGAAGTTGTTTTTCAGTAATTCTTAAAAATGAACTGGTTTGTGAATTAAATCTGGATTTAAGAATTTTCCACAATTCTGCACAACCTTGAATTTGAAATTCAGGAAGGTCTTGTAGGCCAAGATTCTGTCATTTTTTTGAGGTTTAGTCAGTTTATATTCCTGATACCATTTGTTTTCAATCTTCCATCTCTTCAAAACAACAACTTACAGTTACATGGCAACTTTCACATTAAAGCAGTTGACAAACAATAAATAAGTTTTAAATAATAAGCATATAACCATTTGAGCCCAGCATCCCACTACTGTCTTAGCTTTAAATTCAATGTTCTTATTTTAATATGTATATAATAATACTGGCATTTGCTATAGCGCCTCATCACGTCTTGGAGACATCTCAAAGCACTTTAAAGAATATACTATAAAGTGGATTGATTGACTGTATATTTTGTGGACGAAAAAGCTGTTAAAAGCTGTTGAAAAGCCGGTTGAAGTTGTTAACCGATTCACCATCAAATATGTATGTAAATATCAAGCAAAAACATTGAGATCAGCACAATGTGGACTGCCGTAGATTAGTGGTTAAAATATTCACCTTGCAAGTGAGAGGACCTGGGTTTGATTCCTGGGCAGGGTAAAACCTTTGCCAAATTTCCTTACTTCACATCCTTCTATTTACCTAATAGTAAGTGTAGGA